CCTGGGCCCATCCAGAGTCCAGAGTCACATGAAGTTATTGTCTCTACTCAGTTCGCTAGAGTTCAGAGATTTTCCTCCTCCTCAGCAAGTTTGAGTTCCAAGGCCGGGTCCAACATGGGTGGGTGATGGGGGTGGGAGCAAAACCAGCTCTTAGTTGACATTTCATCCTGGGGAAGTTAAGATAAGCACTGCCCTCAAGGCCGTGTCGCTGGGAGTCAGATAAGATAATCCAATTGTTTCGGAACAAAGCAACCTTGAAATTCTTGCTGCTTTTGAAGTGTCTTTACTGCAAACTCTGAGGTGGTGAAAAAAGCCAATCAGCCGAATTTAGGGTCTTCCTCGCCTCACACCGATCGAATCTCACCCAGAATGTAGTCCATACATGCCAAAGGGTCACTCCTGAGTTGTGATCCTCATAATCACATCCAGTTTGCGAATTTGTCCCCCAGCTGAGAGTCTGTGTGCTTCCAAACCGGCAGAATCCTTCAAGTGCGCCCGAACAGCTCTTTAAAAGGCCCGATCCACTGTCTGGGTCGCTTTCACTTTTCGATAAATCTGGAACCCTCCTCCACCGATAAGCAGGAATCCAGTTATCATAGTCCAATTAAATAAAGATCTTCCATGTCTTCGATGAAAAGTGGTGCTGGCATATTAGATTCCAGCCCCAGGAATCAGATAAATCCAGCAGCAACCATTCCACCCAGACAGCAACGTTCCCCTCGTTCCAAGTGTGGAAAAAAAATTGTGTCAATTTTATTCAGAGTCCAGTTGACCAAATCCATAATTCCTTTAGTTTCAGATGGAAGGTGAAAAAAGAGCTCGAAAAAGCAAAAGCAGTGAAGCAGGGAGGGATCGGGGGTGGGCAGAGAGCGAAAAGCACGTCCTGCTCCTCTGAAGGCCAAGCAGAAAAAAGTTGCAAATGCTACTTGATGCCTTGAATTTCCCCTTGGGATTAATAAAGTATCCATCTATACGTTAACATGTTGAAGGATTACACAGTGGTCGAGTCAGTAGAGCTGTTGCGTCTCGAGTTTTTTTTTTCCTCCGGAGATGCAAGCCAAAGTGAAATACGCCAYAAAACTGGAAATAAAGACCAAATACTGTAGTAAGAACTGCTCATTCAAATAAAAAATAACGAGGCTTGAGTAAGAGAAAACGTATTTTATTTCTTTAAATACAAATTACTCCTCAGCCAGAATGTGACGTGAACAACGTTTGACAATGCATCTCCCCCCACTTTAACCTCACTAAACGGTGAAAAGAGGAAAACTACACTGGTAATTTGGTTGTCAACAAAAGGAATTTGATTGTAACAATGAATATTGGTAACCATCACTTTTTATGTGCACAACAAACCCCAACTATAGATTAAAAAAAAACTTGTGAAATGAAGAAAAATGATGAGATTGGTGAAAAGTTTCCCCTTTGGCATAAACGGCACCTAAAATGAAACGAGTGTCCGATTTGGAACCAACCAACAAATAAACAGGCTATTGCTCTGAGAGAAACAAATCTGCAGCATGTTGATTACTAGACTGAGAACACCTAAAGAGTTAATGTGATTACATAAATGCACATTTATTTCAGCTATTAATACTGATAACTCCTTTAGAAAMCATACAAACAAACAAACAATAAAATAAAATAAAATCCACCATTTTAGCCTTTGAAAAGAAACTACAGGTGGTCCTCTACATGCCACAGGGAGTAATATGCTGCTGGTTTTTGGGGACAAACAAAATAAGCATAAAATGTCATTTCTCTGGCTTTCCTTGGGCCGACATTAACAATTTTGACAGCTCAAGAAGGATGAAGACAACGTTTAAGCCTGGACCTGAAACTGGATTTATCTTGTCCAGGATGAGTTCCTACTAAAACCCTACTGCCATGTTAACAAACCAGAGCTAATCATTCCAGGGTCCCAGCACAAGATTTACAGGCTTCATAGATACTAAACATTTTTACTGACTGCAAGATTTTCACGTTAAGGTTCTCTCACCTGTGTGGCCTTTTCAATTAAAAGGACTTCTCCTCTTTATAAATCTCAAGGTAAACCTTCTAAATACCTTGAAGAAGTGCTAAAATAATCAGCTAAAAGTCATAAACATGGGTAATTAATACGTGTACAAACAACCAACAGTGACAACGTAAGCGCTACAGTTTTAACTGTAGATCCATACAGTCCTCGATTACAACAACGTACTGAAAGCAGTCAGTCGTGGCACATCACACGACGCCGTTTGTTCATCCTTTCACGGACAGAGGCTCCAGTGGCTCCTAAGAAATGCACGAGGAGAGCCAACGTTCACCATCCAGTCCTGATGTGGCTGATTCACTTTCATACTGTTCATATTTGGTTCAGTTCTCTTGTTTTTGAAAGCCTGTGTTGCTTGCGTACTGGTCCACGTCAGGTTTGGCAACCAGGTTTTCCACCCTATCTAAGCACCAATTAGAAGAAAACAAACAAACCCCGACCCCCCATCATTGTGCCCAACGTCCGGCCTCACGTCAGTCTGTTAGCGCGCTTTTTGTCCTCTTGCCCTGCTTCGCCCCGCCGGACGCGACGGCGCTGCCGTTGCACATCCCTGCGCTTTGATCCTGCGGCTCCTCCTCGACGTCGGGCATCTCGTCCTGAATCTGCCGCAGGCGCTGCATCGCGCGGTCGATGGTGGCCGTGCTCACCAGGTTGAAGTCGTGCATGCTGACCAAGTGCAGGAGAAAATTGCGGCAGAGGTTCCGGCGGATGATGTGAGCGCCGCAGTCCTCCACAAAAAGCATGATGGCTTGATTCATCTGGTTGTCTGCTATAAAACTATCAATAAAACAGAAATCAAAACGCTTGAATGTTTCAAAGAAGTAGAAGGAATATGAATGGGAGGGACTTTATTTGAAAATCTGTTTAACATAGGGCTATAAACATACCCGTTCTTCATGACGTGAAGGTTCCACAGCTTCATCACCTCCTTCTCCCCCTCATTCACATCTGTGAACTCATCCAGTTGCTGTAAAAAAATACATTTAATACAAACACAGATCAGATTAGAAAAAAATATTCACAATAACATCATCTAATATTCAAGGTTTGTGCATCTTTGCTGCTTCTCTGCTCTCAAATAATTTCCTTTTAACTCAACTGAGTAACTAATAATTCTGTTAACACAATAAATCCAACAATAACAGAAATAACACCCAATAACTCTACATGTCAGGGTTCTTACACTTTAAGGCAGGTTAAATTTAAGACCTTTTAAGACTTTTTAATGCCAAGTGAAATTAAATTTAAGACCAATTTCATAATAAACACAAATGACAAAAAAAAAAAAAACCTGGCAGAAACTCAAACCAATGTATGCAAATATTGCTAATAGACCAATTGTATTTAACCATATCTAACTATAGCAGAAACATTCTTAGCAGTCAATTTTAAACAATTTAATTTCTGGAAATCCTCTAACGACCCAAAGTTTAGAGTTKTAGGACCCACAGTGGGGTCTTAACCTGAGTTTGCTGTAGATGAAACCGTTAAGTGCCTGTGACATCAATTGTTTGCAAGAAAAGTAAATGTATTTTTGGAAAGACAACATTAAACATATTACAAAACAAATTTCACGTTGCTCAGATGGACAGTTGTTGAGATATTTCATGTGAAATAACAGGAAGTGATGTCAAAGGGGAATGTGAATATTTTAAAAAAATAATTTACCAATTATTTTAATATTTGAAATGAATTACAATCATCCTATGCACAATGTGGTAACATTTTTAAGACTTCTGAAAGATTGATTTAAGACATTTTAAGGCTAATTAAGGCCTTATTTTTGGATTGATGGATTCAATGACTTTTAAGACTTTTTAAGGATCTGCAGGAACCCTGTTTGCACGTCTTTCTTTAACTTGGTCTGTACATGAGGGGGAACGTCTCACCGTGGCAGTTTTCTCTCTGAGCCACTTGGGATCTCTCTCATCCTCGCTGTCTACTTCCATCTCCTGAGGCCGCAGCGGCATGCAGCTGTCACTGTGGAAGTAGAGGCGGTTGTGTCCGCTGACGTACGTCCTCTGCTGCTCCAGCTCTCCATCCTCAGACTCCAGGAACTCCGACAGACTCGGCTTGGTCCTCTTAGGCCTTGTGAAAGCAAGAGAGACAACATATCCTGCGTGTGAACGATGGCGGTGGAAATCTTGGAACCAAAAAGATGAGTAGACGCCACCATTGCCATTTGTCTTGTGTTTGAAGTTTGGTTTTTACTCATCAAGTTTTAAAAAAGTTATTCACACATGCTTTGACCATGAATGGAGATGTTGCGTTCCGACAGGGTTTACCTGGAGACCAGTATGTGAGTGACAGGTGTCCTCTTCACCGGCCCGTTTCGGCTGAAAGCGAAGCCCGGCTGGCTGTGGATGTCCTGAGGATTGCCGACGTACGAGCCGTCGTAGCACTCGTTGATGGACACATCTATTCTCGCTCCTTTGGGGTGAGGCTGAATGTGTGGAAAAAGATCAGAGTCATAAGTAGTAGTATCCTTTATTTAAAGGAGACCAATTATGGGTCCTAGAATTTTTTATGGTATGTCTGTGGGCTATCCAGACCATGTTCATTCAATTTAATGCACAAAATAATTCTCAGATAATAAAATTTCCCATTTTCTAGTTCTGCCTGCTCTGACTTCCGTTCAGAAGAGCTGTTTATGTTAATGAGCTCTGTTGGTAACGCCCTCCAAAAATCTGTTGACATTAACTCCGCCCTCCAAAGCCAGCGTTTATGTTAGCATGGCTAATAATAGCAGAAGCTCCGTTGTACAACCATAGACCAGAGGCAGAGTCGTGGTCGCAGCTTCTTTTTATTCTCCTCCTCCTCTGCTCTGCGCTCACTCTGCATGCTGTTACCAGAGCTTTGTTGGCAATGACAGCTTCAAGATGTATACTCATTTTGGTTTTTATGTATATTTTAGTTTTTTTTTTTATTGTCAGTAAATGTACAGTTGCTGGAAGCCTTAAATTTCTCCCAGGGATTAAAAAAGTATCAATCAATTAATCAATACATAGATATATAGGCTGTATCTCAATTCATGGGTTGCAGCCGACATGGGGTGCATTTGTCGGCCGTTTATGTCACTGCCCCGGCGCCGTAGGCTGTCCCAATACGTGGGTGTCTACTCATGTGGCCAACAAAACCCTGAAAAACATAGGTTGCATCCGAGTATCCAACATGACAGACGGTATCTCAGAATTTGTTGTGCTGTCAGCAAATTAAACAGAAAAATAATGAATGCTAACTTTTTTTTAAAATATTTTATATCAGTTTTTTTTTTTTTGCAGCGGAGTTTGGAAATTTATCGCGGAACGAAGAATGTAAGTTTAGCAACTTAGCTGAAGAAGGTTTTGATGCACTGCAATGTTAAATAAAATGCAGTTGTAGTACTTACACTAGAGCTAAACTCAAAATTATTAACGCTTTTTTAATTTAGTTGTAAAGTTTTACTATTAAAACTGAATTTTGTGAAGTCATACCTTGAAAAACCAACTGAAGCGATGTTATATAAAACATATCACTATGGTAATGAGGCAGCACGTGGTCATACAAACACTTCTTCTGCAGACTAGACCGTCTCAATGTTTTTGCAGCCGACTCGAGCGGTCCACATCGACCGCAGTCCACGTCGTTTGCAAACCATGAATTGAGACACAGCCGTCGAGCAGATTTATTTCTCTGCTTCAACACGTCTGATTCAAATAATTCAATTTCCTACTCATTAAAGTCATCAGGTGTAGTAGAATCCTGTTAATGACTCATTCATTTCAGGTCCGGTGTGTTGAAGCAGGTAAATGTCGAAAACATGCGAGACACTGGGACACGAGGACCAAGGCTGGGGAACTCCGATTTAGGGAACTGTCTGGGGTTTTATGTATGAGCACATTTTCTTGCGACTAGATATAATTTTTGATTTTACAGAGAGCAGAATCGCACATGAACACATTTAAACAGAGGTCAGGAAGTGCAAAAGAAAAGTGCTTGGATTCAGACATATGAACAGTTTTATACATCTGGATTTTTTTTGGTGCGTAGCTCATTTTATGCACACGCCAYGTTCTAATAAAAAATAGAAAATCAACACGAGTCTTCATACAAGAGGCTCTAGGGGGAGACAAACACACATGCACTCTCTTACCACATAGTTAAAGATGAAGCGGGAGTGCGAGAGTTTGAGGTGTTTGAGCAGACTGTAGAGTTTGCTGCAGTTCAGAGTACACCAGGGACAGTGAAGGTCATCTCTCGCCTCTGTCTGCTGCCGCGTGTTGTTGTTGTACAGGAACTGGTCAGAAACAGATCACAAAGTTACTACAAAAGCCGTGTGATTCCAAATGTCAGTGTTGCTGCCATCTGTTAATTCAGAGTCCCAGACTCAAAGAGATCCTTCCTGAATACCTGATAAAAGATACGGAGCTTCTGTCGCGGCTCACTCAGGACCAGCTCTTTCCTCGTCTGAATGTCGGTGCTGACCGACTGTTTCACTGCTGACAGAACAGACACACGAGCTCACTTGTGGATCACCAAATAAACTGTTACATCAATATGTGAGATTTCAGAGCAGGCAGGAACTGTCAGACCTTCTTTAGATGGGATGACGACATGAAGGGAAAATCAGCAAGAATTAATARTCTGYGTAGAGTTTTCAGGTGTACATTAGGAACAGAGAGGGCTCATCAGGAGTGCGCTTATTAATAGGTTGTAGAGTGTGCGCAAAACTACTGTGGTTGGGTTTTGGTGGTTTGTCAGCATGGTGGCAACATATTTACAACATACAGTACAGTCAGTTGTGGAGAATTTGAAGCAGGACTGACCTCACTGGCCTTGTTCCTATGCTACAACTGTGATTGTGTTACGGTCATGGATGCAAATCAATATCGATCCCATTTTCACAATTACTTGTTCAAAATGCCCTGATACCTGGAACTGATAGCATGTTTTGCATGGACGGTCACATTTTAAACACAACCTCCCCATTACAGTCCAGTGTGAACGCGATGTGCCGTCGATGCAACACGCACACAGAAGATGACGTGACGTCACGTTCTGCTCRCTGTTCACCAGAGTAAACAAGTCGCTAAGCTTATTTGCTACGCGTTAGCATGTCGATTCGGAAGATGTTGTGCAACCAGAGCCGGTTAATTACCTGACACGCTTGTTTAGTGCACCGTTTACATTTTAACCCGCCCTTCGTCGGCTGATCAGGTGAAGCGTGGTTTTATGGAACGACAGCGACGCAACGTGCTCCAAGTAAAACTAACTGAAATATCGATCCACTTCAGTGTCGATACAGTCCGACACAAACATTACCATCATATGTTTCTGTGGATTCTCAGTTATCCAGGACATGGAAAATTAAAAGAAAAAGATGAAGCAACTGATGTGACGTATTGCAGAGAGGGGCTGGGTTCAAAAAGAACCTGTTTATATTGACTGAGATCTTTTGATTTAGCACTAAAATTGACGACAAACCGTCTGTATTTTGGTCCAGCTGCTGGGTTTTGTATGACTTTATTACTTGCACATAACATTCAAGTCTTATTCTGTATTTATTGACTGAGGTTTGCTTTGACAAACGTGATTTAACACCAGGTTACAATTTAAGAAGAGTGTTTTTATAATCACTGTGTAACGTTTAAGTTCCAACTCAGTAAGTACTCGGTCTCAGCGYGTACTCAAGCTGAAGTACTCGTACTCAGTTTGAGAAAACCTGGTATCCGTCATGGTAGTATGATGTGTTCTGAGTGTCATGCCTTTGAAAACGTTCAACAGACTCCCATAAAACAAAGCTCTGCTACCATTATTTGACTCGGTGCTTACTCATAAGCGCAGCTCGTTGGTGGCTGGTTCTGGTCTCCATCGGGCCGAAGCTGTCAGAGTTGCGTGTGGCGAGCGGTTTGGCCACAGGAGCCGTGGACTTCCCGTTGGCATCGCCTGTCCAGCGCAGCGTGAACTGCAGCGTGGGTCCCTGAGAAAACGTCTCAAATGGTGGCATTCTCTGAGGAAGAGTCGAGAGTCACAGTTGGTGGTGCTGAATCTGAGTTAATACACTTTCAGCAAATACTAACACTTTTGAATGCTAGCAGAAAAGTGATGTGAACTCAAGAAAAGAAACACAAACTGGGTATTAAATGCTCTCAAAAAAAAAAAAACCCATTCATTCATCCAAGTCGCCTACCTTTCCATCAAGAATAGTTTCCCATGTAGCTCGTTTTTTGCTCACAGGACTGTCCTCTATCCTTTGCATTGACACCTCATATTCCCCATCCAGCAGCTGCAGTCTCCTGCAAAGAAAGAGTGGAAGAACTTTAAAAAAAAGTTGCCATTTTAAAAAGGAATAATGTCAAATCAAACAAAACCTCACCTGTTCTTGTCAAAGACAGTCATCTGTGCGACATAGGTCTCTGTGGTTTCTCCCTCCTCTCTATGGGCTGAATTTCTCTTCTTTCTACTGGGAGTATCCGTCACATCTTAAATAAAAAATACAAAGCGTCAGACATTTATTACCCTCCAAGACACAACGAACTGTTTAAACGCGAACTTGCCGATATTTTCGTTGGTTTCTCCGTTAACCAGGCCTTTGATCTCCCTCCTGCCGGTGCACGACACCCTGAAGAGGAGCGAATAGGACTTCACCATGTGGCTGTTGCTGGGCTCAAACTCACAGCTGGGAACGAGTAAGGAAGGGCAGGAGCCAGGCTTGGTTTGGTTAGTGTTGGGATTTAAAGGCACCTGCTTTTTACCTGTAGGCACTTGTTTTATTGGGCAGCTGACATCCTGCAAAAAGAAACGCATTACTAATATGTTGGACCAACAGCAGCTAACAACGGGCCTCGTGCAAGAACCGTTCATACGCACAGATTTGTTCTTAAGTTTTGCGAACGAGTGATTTAGGAGAATCTGTGGCATTCACCAATGTTTTTCGTATTCTAACATTTTTTTCAGATACGAACAAAATTCACATGTGGTCCAGACCTGTCGTATATTTTATGAGCAGTCAGTCTGCTGTTATCCAGACGGACTTTCTTGTAATAACTTTATATTTAATTAGTTTGAAGATATTTTGAGTTGAAAATAAATCCCACTCCATAATTATGGTGACAAGAGGCTGTTCTGTTTGAATTAGAATTATAAATGTAATAATGTAGACTAACGACAAATTGGTTAAATTAAATTGGCTATTAATGCTGTTGTATAACACTAGATTAATATGAAGAGCTCAAACTACAAACCTACATAATTATGCATTAACTGAAGTTTGAGACATTTTAAAATGCTTTTTTTTTTCAGAAACGCATCTAACACTTGTGGGTGGGGGAGCAGTGTGCGACTGCTCTTCTTCTGAATAAATGAAAACTATGTAACACGGTTGTTTACACTTAAATTAAAAATATTTGACCAAAGGAAAACTGGAGCAGGACTAAAGACAGATGAATATGATTTAAATTTTTATTTATGTGACGTTATACGACCCACGGGAGACACAACAATAACAGCAGTCGTCATTGGGGCTGGGTTAAAAAAATCGATTTAATCGATCTGGATCGATTCTCGTTCAAATTTGGGAAGATTTAAGTCACGAGGTCGATTTTTCCTCATGGGTGTTGTGTGCGATGAAGCTGCGCCTTTCCGTGTTGTGTGTCACATCTGGCTTGCCGTAGGTTTACATCCAGTTGACGATCAGTGCTAATGTTAGCTCCCGACAACAAGTTGTCTGGAGCAAAACAAAAGAAACTAAGGAATCGCTAACATTACAGCTGAACATAAAGATAACAGAGGCCATGACGACTTTTGTTTGCAAATATTTGCGCTCGGACGCAGTAGCGGGAAACAAAGCTTCGAACGGCTGGTTCCGGTGGTCGGACCAAAACTACGGTATGTAAACATCTGAAACTGTTCTCCTTTATAAATGTGTGAAAGATGTCAGTCTAACAAAATCATTTAGTTTTGTTACCAATGTTATTTTTAAATTTTAGAAACATCTTAATGTAATTCACAGTGGTGAAATGTTTTAGCTGAAGTACTTTTTTCTTTCTTTCCTCTTGTTAATAAGTTTTACTAAACAGAAGCTAACAAAAACGTTACAAATATACAATGTTCATACACTCTAAAGAGTGGGCAGAAGTGCACTTATATTGGCCCACCTCTTCTCCTGTAACCCTTATTCCATCACTTCTTAGTGATCAAGAAAATTATCCTTAATTTCTTAAAAAACTAATGTATCCAACAACACTTTCTCTTGCAATTCATTTTTAGTTTAAACCCTTTGAAACTTGAGACAGTTTTGTTTCAAGATTAAACTCCAATTTACAAGTTTGCTCTTAATGTTTATAATTTTACCAATGCACCAAGTTAGAATTAGTTTCTACTATTTGCAGAATTAGTTCCTTTGAGAATGTCTTCAAAGTAAATGTGTTACTGCATGATATCCTTAACTAAGTTAGAAATCAATCAAACTGAATCGCTCTGAATCGTGAATCGAATCGATTTGGGAAATTTGAATCGATACCCAGCCCTAGTCGTCATTTCATTCCTTGGCTTTAGCAGGTCTGACGCTGCTACAAATGACAGATTTTCTTTTGTGGATCTCTGAAAGCTTCTGTTTTACTTTGTGAGGTCACTTATGAACGGACACTTCCTGGTACGTGGGGCAGGAAACATAGCCTTATATGGTGTTTTTGGGGTGGTAATTATGCTAATCTCCTCTCCTCGTGCGCGAGCAGCTGATACGCATTCATCAGTTTACGCTGCTCATGTACACACTTTTCCTGAAGATAGAGGAGTTTGTTGAATCTGACGAGGCACGTTCAACAAACGTACGAAGGTTTCGTACGAACAAAAGTAAGAGAAATTTAGGATAAGAATACGAACATGTTCTTGCATGAGGCCCAATGTCTTCAGCACAATCCAATACTTTACCTTGCGTTTTTTATGGCAGACTTTGACGAGTAGCACCTCTAAGGAAACAGAATTTTGTTCATTCTCAGAATTCTGAGATGGCTTTTCTGCATGGCGACAAAAAAGAAAGTCAAGTGTCAAATGTTTAGATATCATTCTATATTTATTTTGGTTGCTTCTGTATGAAAACGGCTAATGTGACAGTTCTGATGCAGACGTATCACCAGAAACAGGTTTTCTGTATGAGTTCTTGTTAAACATGTGACTTGTAAGAGTGCGTTTGCAAACTTGCTTCAAGTCTGAGCACTTTATCAAACATTTAGTTTAGTGGTGGAGGTTGACATAAAAAACCCCTCTCACACTATGACTACCATTATATGTAGCTAGTGAGTATGAAAATTTGCTTATCCCCCCCCCCCGAAAAACACAGAAAGGGAAAAGCAATCTGCTTACCATCCTTATGGAAGAACCCAGTGAATGTTAACTGTAGATGTGAAGACAAGCTAAAATAAAAAAGACATAAAGACAGGTTTTTTTTAAAAAGCCACAGTAGTGCAGGTATATATTATTAAATACATATTACAGACTTAACGTGTATTTAGCATCAAAAAAATGAAAAACTTAAAGGTTTAGTACCTTGGAGAATCCTGCTCAACCTTCATTTTCTCCACAGCCTTCAACATATCTTCCACTTTGAATGTTTTTCTAATAGGACAGCAGAAAAATAATTTAATAAAAATCTTCAGTCAGGTATGACTAATACATTTTTTTCCTTCATTTTACAAAGAATTTAGACTCCATACCTTCTGGCATTTAATCGACTATTTCTGTGGGACATGAAGGTGAGTGTTCTGTGCAAAAATACGGGCTAAAATATGGAAAAAGAATGACATGAGGAAACTTTTAAATGACTAGTTTATATCAGATAACTCAAGAGGAAATAAAGAGTTTACTTACTGCAATCAGGTTCCTTGTACGAAGAAACCTGTAGATCTGAGTTGGTTCTAGGAAATAAATAAAATGTCGAATTATAATAATACATATAATATACATTTATATTATTATACATATCATATATATACAGATACATATATGATAATAATAAAAACACTATTAAAATAAATTTATAAAAAAGCATATGTTCCAAGGCAAGGAAAATATTTTTAGGTTTAGACAGAGCAGTCGCCAATCTGATTTACACCCTTTTCAAGATTGGTGTAATTTAATTTTTGACTGTTAATTTATCAAATATGTGAGAAAAGGTGGATGTAGATGGGTTGTTAATTAAGCAAATACATCAAACACAATATGAGCAAATGTTAGATGTAAACCTGGGTGGGTTTTGAACTGATCTGTTTGATTTTGGCTTCCTAACCACAACTATTGTTTGCATTTTAATCAATATAAATATGTCAACCCTTTAAAGGCATGCCAGCAAAAACATTAACAAAAACAAACAGCCCCTGACTGAGCTAACTTTATTATAAAAGGGGTATGAGCTGAGGAAAAAAAACAGCTGAACTAAACGTGAAAAGCGGGGAAATCTCACTTTCAAAGGCCTGTAAGAAGAGCTCATGGTCGGCCTGGATCTGCTCCATCTTCGGCTTCTTCACCGGGTTCATCACCGCAGATGAGGCGGGGTACACGGCACCGTTAGCTTTGCAGCTCGCCCCGCTCATGATAGGACCTGAGCTCTGGGAGCGAGGTAAGGAGTGGGGGGAAAAGAAATCAAATCAGCACAGGTGCAGGAAATACTACCAGTTAGCTTAGCAATAAGGCACATCCTCGCATTAGCGGCTGAGCTAGGTAGCTCGGCTAAAACAGAGCTAACGTGTTGGAATTTCTAGATGGAAATGACACTTCTCGGCTACAGAAAACCAAAAATTCGTCGTGTGGATAATACCGAGCGTGACAAAAAGTGACCCACCCTGGCTGATGGCATTAATATGTTGGAAGAATCAACAGCAGAAACCCATGAAGAGGAGGCAACGATGCAGTGGCTAATGAGCTAGCACTGCTAGCATGGTTGACTTTAAAAAAATATAAATATCCTCACACCTGAAGTTCCTCCGCATTCACCTGCCACATATATACTTATACATCGAATTGAAGATTAAAATTTCAACTAAAATAACAGTGAGATATTTGTGGTTTGATGTCGATTTGTTGCCTTTATCATTTTTTGTCCAAAATAACAGAGCAGCAGTCACTCAGTTGTTAGCCAATAACAGATAGCGCAAGAGACACCTGCGCTCTGATTGGCTATTGACCACCGGATATGACATAATCCCCGCTCTCGCTTTGTACAATTTTGCGGGAAATCTTCTTGATGAGGCAGCAGCATCCAGTGGTACAGCTTTCCCTACTCACGCAACAATTTAGAAATGTAGTTTTCTTTATAAACTTTAAAAGTTTGACTTTATGTATTTGACGAAATGTAAATTTAAAATGGTAAACCGAGATTAACCTGTAGTAATGATGGGAATTTCGGCTCATTTTTGAGATCCGGTGAACATTGGTTCCGCTTGACACACACACACACACACACACAC